CTTGAAAGAGATCTTTTCCAGCAGAAATCGACTACCCTATGTAATTAGCGTAATGATTTGGCACAAATCCATATCAAGTGGACTGATATGGAATCAGGCTTTTCAGACTGGCATATGGACCAGATTAGAAATGTCCCAGATGCCAGAGGAGGACACAGGACAGAATGTTGGCAGCTCTTGGCAGTTACAGCCATATTAAAACAAAACAAAACAAAAAAACAAAAACCAAACTCACTGTCATCAAGTCAACTCTGACTCATAGTGACCCCTCCTTGGGTTTCCGAGGCCATATCTCTAGGGAAGTAGATTGCTCAGTCTTCCTTCTGGGTTTGAACTACCAGTTTTCTGGTTAGCAGTCAAATGTCTTAGGTATTACACTACCAGAGCTCCCTACTATATAACCATATAATAGTTACATAAAATCTCTATGAATAGTAAACAAGCATTTTCAGATATAAATACATTTTTTAATATTATATACAATATGAATGTTAAATATTGGTAAATGGCACATTCTTTCATTTGGGTTGGTTTCTATTTCAAACAACACTAATTATAGTCATTACTTTTATAGAGCCTCAGCTAAAATATCTCTTTCAGGTAACATTAGAGAGAGGCAAATATCTGACAGAGTAAATAAACCACTAATTGCCAATTCCTGCATGGATGATTACGTGACCAGATATATACTTTAGAACAATCTGATCATGTCATTTCCCGACTTAAATCCCATAGTGGCTTCTCACATCCTAAAGCTTGAATTCCTTAAGATGACAAGCAATGACTTTGATAATCTAATTTCTCACTATTTACTTCCTTTGTTCCAGGCACACTGAATTCCTCTAGAATATTTACCACAATTTGTAATTTGATAATAATTTATGAATTTACTTGTTTAGTGTCTGTGTCCTTCACTAGTCTGTAGGTTCATCAAGGCCGGGACTATATCAATTTTACCTACCACGGTATACCCAGGACTTAGCACATTATCTAGCACTGGGAAGATATTCAGTGCATATTTGTGAAAGATTAAGTGCTCAGTGAACATCTGTTGAATAAAAACATGGATGTCATGAACTGTTGATGGCTATTCAGTTAGACACTTGATCTTTTCTGTGTTGTATACCTACCTTTGCTGGCAGTGGTGAAATGATGATGGAGGTGGTGAGGATGTCTACCCAGAATTAATGAATGCAAATTGTCATCATTAGTACCTAGTACAGAATCTTTAAGATTAAGGTATTATACTAGCCGCATTTACTTTTCCAATAATAATAATAATAATAATAAAACCCAAACTCACTGCCATGGAGTTGATTCACCTCATAGCAGTGGTATCTCTATGGGAGTAGACTGCCCAATCTTCCTTCTGAGGAGTGGCTAGTGGGTTTGAACCACCACCCTTCTGGTTAGCAGTCAATGCCTTAGGCACTATGCCATCAGAGCTCCCACTTTTCCAATAGAGATGGTATATTGTTAGATAAGGGAAATGCACTAGAAATGATTGTTTCATGCCTTTGGTCTTTGGCATTATATTTGATACAACTTTTAATCATCAAGGTGGAGAAATGTACATACCATGAAAGCATAAAGTGACCCACAACTTGTTGGATCAGATGAACAGTATTCTGAATAGAATGAATTCTTGGTTTGTTTACGAGGGAATTCAAATATCACACAAATATATGCTCCATATGTCCCTTTCAACCTGAATTCCTCATATAAAAAATAACAAGTATAATGTAATATCTTGTAGCACCTCTTTATTACCAGAACTATAACTAACTATAAGTTAGCCCTATCTAAACTATCTAATTATAGAATTTATCTCCATGGATATCAGAGAAAGAAAATAAGTGACCCATATATACACATAAGCTCAGGGAGTGATTTGGGATTATACAATACTTCCCCTTTTTTTTTGTGACAAGGCACTGCTGAAACAGGAAGTATTTATTGAGCTGATATGTGAAGGAAAAGTAAATGATGTGGGGAGGGGTAGAGAGTATCTTTGATAACAGGACAGCTTGTGCAAAGACCCCTGACAGAAGGAGACATGGCATATGGAACCAAAAAAGGCCAATGTGGTGTGGCATAGAGAACAAGCGAAAAAAGGCCAATGTGGTGTGGCATAGAGAACAAGGGAAAGAGTTTGGGTGATGAAAGATAGTGGAGAGAGGGAGCTCAAGGAATCGATCCCATAATGTTGTAGATGAGCTCCTGGGTTTATCCCTAAGTTTCATTGCACATGTATGGCTCTGAGCCTGAACAGAATAACGAAGGCCTTGCTATGTGAACTACAAGGTAGACCACTCTCTAGGTCCCAGATCTGCCACTGAATGGCACATGGACAGGAAAGACAGAAAAACAGCAGAGTCTTTGAAAACTCACAGAAGATAGTAACTTGTGGCTAGAGCCTAACCAGGTTAAGCACCTTTCAAAACACACACACACACACACACACACATCATTTTCCATAGTATTTAAACAAGACCCAGAGTCTCATAACATAATATTTAAAATGTCCAGTGTACAATTAAAAAACACTCAACATATGAAGAATAAGGAAAATATGAACATCTTGCAAAGGAAAAGATAATAGACATCATCTCCAAGATGACAAAGCTATTGGGATAACCAGGCAAAAACTTTATAGCTGTTACCATAACCATGCTCCAAGGAGCAATGGCAAACAATCTTTGAATGAATGGAAAGATAGAGAATTTCAAA